ATTATATTTATTAGACATAAAAAAAATTGTATTTTAAAATAAATTATTATATATTAATTAAAATATATAAATATTTTTTTTTGTTTAGTTATGTTTTATTTTATTATAAAATTTTACTACGGCAATATATAGTCTCATTAGAATTCTAATATATAATATTTAAATAATATAAATAATTTAAAAATAAATTATATTTATATTATATTATTAAAAAATTATTTTAAAATATATATATATATATATATATAATTTTTTTATAGATTTTAAATTTTATAAATTAAATCTCTCTATATCTTTATATAAAATGCTTTTATGAATATATATTTATATGTCCTTAAATTTTTATTTTTAAAAATATAATATAATTTTTAAAAATTATAATTATAAATATGGGACATTTAGTTTAATATAATTCTGATTAACATAAATAAATTAGAAAAAAATATTATTTTTTCTATTTTAAACTATGACCTTATTGCATTAATATTGTCAAACTATTAGTTTTTTTTATAGATTTTAAAATAAATAAATAGTTAAATTTGAAATTCAAGATAAATAGTAGCTTGATAATATAGAAATATGATTATATATATATATATATAAATACAAATATAAATAAATATAAATAATTATATTTTTCATAAAACAAAGCATAATTTTGGAGACAATTCTTTAAAAAATTCTCCATAGGTTACCTAATTATTTCTTTATTTATCAAACCTAGAAAATAAATAGCTTAATTCTTTAGGTGAAAAATGAATATCATATTTAATAAATAAGCTCCTTAAATCCTCAACATTAAAAATTCCTTTTTGATTACAATCTATAAATTTAAAAGCTTAAAATGGCGAAAAAATGTTTGTTTTATTAAGATTCTATCTTATTTTTTCTAATTCCTATAATGTTTTAAAAATTTAAATCCATAATTTTTTCATTAAGATAGATGTATTTGTAGAAAAGCAAAATAATTAGTTTTCTCTATTATTTATAAGAATTCGATATTCAAGTTATAATGGCATAATTAAATAAATTAAGTTTTTAAATGAAAATTAAGTAGAAAATCCAAATTCTTTAAAAAGTAAATATAATTAAGAATCAGATGGAAAAATTTCGTTTTTATTCAAATAAATAAGTAATTATGATTAATTAAATGAAAAAGAGTTTAAATCTTAATTAATTTATTTAAAAATAGTAAATATATTAAAATCCTTCATTGTAGCTAACTCCTATTTTAAATTTTCACATTTTAAATCAAAATTTAGAATTTAATAAAGATTTTTAACTAAAAATTATTTAACTAAATCATCTGAAGTCTATTATTACATTTAAAAATCATTATCTTTTAATTTTATTTTTTTATCGTTTTAATCTTTTTTTGGGGTTATTTAATTTAAATTAGAGATTTAATTATTCGCTTTATTTATTATTCCTTCTTTTGGAAGTATTATTTATTCAAATTATTATAAGCTTATTGTACCTTCTTAATGATTTCCGTATTTATAAAATATTAATTATAGTTTTTATTTAGATTATTTATTATTTTATTATTTGAAAAAATCATATAAGCTTATATTAAAATAAATAAATATTTTTATATAATTATTATTTACGTTTATAATTCTAATTTTAAAGAAGTGTATGAATTCAGTATCTAAAATATTTATTATGGACTAATTATGTCTAAATACTTAAATAAGCAATTTCGTTTTTATTCTAAAATTTTGAAATTTATTATTATTTGATGAAAAATTTATACAAGTTTATATTCAGATTCTCCAGAGATATCATATTTCATATATTAAACATCTTATAACTTTTAATAATTTATATTTTTCATATATTCCATTCCAAAGTTTTCATTTATTTTAATTATACTCTAAGGAATTTATAAATTTTCAGAAATTCTTTAATTTTTGAATTGCTTTTAAATATCTCTTTTTTACTAATCTTCAATAATAATTTTATTACGTAATTCTTAATCTAGATTTGGAAGTAAAAATTGAAAAAAACTTTTATATAAAAATAATAATTAAAATATATATTATTTAAAATTACTTTTAATAATTTATTATTCCTTTGTTATAAGTATCAAAATTATTAATTATTTCAGTCAATTCATTTTATGTAAAATATAAACTATTTTATTATAAAAATATTTATAATTATAACTATGAGACTTCTTAATTTTGAGAAATTTTCATGAATAATTAAAATATATCAAAATTGTCATTTTAAAAAAGATCTTTTTTAAGATTATCTAACTTAATTTCAGATTAAATAATTTAAAGGAATATAGAGGATAAATTTTTAATAATATTATCGTTTAATTATAACATTTTTATATATTTAATACTAAATAAAAATATATTATATATTATATTTAATATTCAAATTTATTTTTGTTATAAAAAAAAAAATAGTTAATTAATAATTTATTTATTTATTTTTTTATTTTTTATTTATTTATATTAATTATTAATATATTTTTTTATCAATAATTTAATCTTTCCCTTTTTCTTTCTGATAATCTTCTTATTTTTTTTCGTCTTTAATGCAATTTTGCTTATTTTACTTTAGTTTTTTTCTTCTAAATGTTTTTATTTGTAAAATTGTCTAATTTTACATATTTTTTAATATATCATTTTATTTTATAATTTAAATGAACGATGGAATGTAATTCATATTTAAAAATTTTAAAGTATTAGAAAATTATTTATATTACATAATACTAGATTAAAAAAAGTTTACAATAGAAAGCTTACTAATATTTAAAATTATATTCATTCTATTTCTTTTAAAATTTTTTATAGTATAATTTTTATTTAATATTAAATTTTTTTCTTTTTTTCTTACAAATTTAATATAAATATATTATTATTATATTTATATTTTAATATTATTTATATTTTTCATATTTTTATTAAAAAAAACATAAATTAATTATAATTTAGAGGTCACTACCTATTTTTTATTATTATTTTTTTAAATATATTTTATAAAAATTAAAAAGCAATATAATCAAAAAATCGTATTTTTTAATTTATATAAAAAGATATTTTTATATTTATAATAAGATATTAATTATACTTTAAAAAAATAAATATATAAAATTTTATATTTTACAAATTTTATAAAAAATAAATATTAATATTTTAATTACTTAATTTAAAATAATAATAATAATGTAAAATTAACTTTAATATTTTTAAATTATATTTATTTTTTAAAAATTTCTATAATTATTATGATAAAAAGACTGAATATATATATATATATATATATATATATATATATATACTATTATTATTATATATATTATTTTAATTATTTAATTTTAACTATCATTTAATTACTATTATTATACTTTTTTTTTTTTTTTTCTAATTAGTTATTTTTTTTCTAATTAGTTAAATGTTTTTTCGCTTACTGAAAATTATCTTCCTGTTATTTAATCATATATAAGATATTAATTTGTATTTTATTCATAAAATTTTTTAATTAAATAATTTATTGACAATAATATAAAAGCACATGCTATCCCATATTACATTGTATTTTTTAAAATTTTTGTTATTTTATTTCTAATATTGAATTATTTCTATATATAATTTTTTTTTTTTTAATATATATAAATTTTTTTACATTTTAATTTTATTTAAATTCTTTTAAAAATTATGATTACATAATATTTTCTGTAAAGAATTGACTTTGGTTGTTTTCAGGTTTGAATTAGTAATTTTAATATTACTATTTATTATAATTTTATTTATACTTATTATTATATTATTAATATTATTGCTATTATCTGTAGGATGCCTTTTATTTGAATTGATAGGGTTATGATTCACTTTATTTTGTTAAATGCATTCTTAGTATTAGTTTTCATTTGTCAATATCTCGTATGCTTCATTTATTTATTTAAAGTATTCTTAATTTTATTAATTTAAATCTGGATGATATTCTTTCGCAAGTTTATAATATTATTATTTTATTTCTGTTAATGAAGCATTTTCTTTTAAACCTAATATTTTAAAATAATTTTTTTATGAACTAATAGTTGATGTAAAATTTTATTATGCTTATTTTAATAAATGCTGTTTTATTATTTTAATATTAATTAACATTATTTTTAGATTTTTTAATAAATATTATTTAACTTATTATTTTATTAGTTTTTCTTTATTTGAATACATAACTTAATTAAAATAAAGTTAATTTTGATTTTTTTAATATTAATAATTAATTGAGCATAAATATTTATTTTTTGAATATAATTTTATTTATTTAAAAGAAACAATTTTAATTTTTTTTTAAAAATAGTAATTTGTAATTAAATGAATAATAAAAAAAATTTACAAAAAATAGTTATTGTTGGAGAAGGTAAATAATTTATTTAAATATAATAATTAATAATCAAATAAAGGAAGAGTAGGAAAAACATCAATAACACTAAGATATTGCTAAGACTAATTTTCTGAAGATTAAGAATCGACAATAAATGCGTTTTATCTAGAAAAATCAATTAATTTATAAAATTCTGATGAAGTAGTCAATATAGCAATATGGGTAAGCATTTTTACTTATAATATATAATTAATACTTTATAAAGGATACTGCAGGCCAAGAGAAATTTAGAGCAATAGTTCCAACATATTATCATGATGCAGTTTGTGCAATATTAGTTTATGATATTACAATTAAAGAATCATTTGATAAAGTAAATATATTTTTTAAAATTTGATGTTAGCTATTGAAAATATAGGTAAAATCTTGGATAAAAGAATTATAAGAATGTACTGATAGGAGTAAATTAATAGTATGTATTGCTGGAAATAAAGGAGATTTAGAAAATCAGCGATAAATAACAAAATAATCAGCAGAGGATTATGCTAAGCAAGTTGGAGCAAAACATTTTACAACCTCTGCAAAAGCCAACTTAGGAATTAATGAAATGTTTTAATTTATTGCTGATGGTACAATTTATTATTTATTTTAAAAAATAAAATTTATATAAATTTTTATTATTGTTTCTCTTATTTTTTCTTTATATAAAATAGAAATTTAGAGACAAGGATTTAATTTATAAAAATAAAATAAAGGAAGACTAAAGTTAGCAGAAGGTAAGAAAAAAGCTGAACAAGATAAATAAAATTAAAAAGATAAATGTTGTTGATTTAAAAATTAAATTATAAAAAATATAAAATGCAGAAGATCAAGTAAATATCTAAATTTTGAATATTAAATATTGGATATTTTAAATATATTCGATTATGCAATAATAGAATATTTAATAAAAAATTTATACTATGTTTTAATATTGTCAAATTTACAATATGTTTTTTTGTACTTTATTTTAATTTTTATTATTATTAAAAAAATTATATTTTTTTAAATAAAGACTATAAACAAAATAAGGAAAAAATATACAATTGAATAAAATTTAATTATAATAATAAATATAATTGAAAAAAATAATAATATTGCTTTAGTATTTATATAATATAAAATATATGATATATAAAAAAAATATTACTTATAATTTAATAAATTATATATAAATTGATTATGACATAAAAAAATAAAATAGTAAAAAAATATGCAAATAATTTTTTTTTGTAATAATAAAATATTCAAATAATTAGCTACTTTTTAAAATAAATAAAAATAATATAAATATATAAAATTATGAAAGCTAAATTAAAAATATTAATTATTTATTATAAAAAATTAAAAAAAAAAAACCATAAAATAAAAAAAAGATTAATATAATTT